AGACCCCTGGCCCCTCGCCCGCCGCCCGGCGCTGGAAGACGGGGGAAAGCAGCTCAACGCCCCGGATTATTTGGCTTCCTGTCTGATTTCGGCCACTCGGCCTGTCGGTTATTTTGGGTCCTGGACGTGGGCGTGTCTTTAACTTTCCCCAAAGCCTTCCCCGCCCCGCGCCCGGGCACCTTCCGAACACTTGCAGGAATCGCCCTGCGTGGCCTCGCGGCGCGGGCTGGACTGGAATTGCAGTGTGGTCTGCAGAGGGCATGAGATCATGGGGCCCCAAAATAGAGCAGGAGGAGAAGGATGCAGCGGCCAGGCTGCAAGGTGGGAGAGCCGAGCCGGACAGACCCGTGTTTCTGGATGCACATGCAAATAGGCTACAGAGACGAGCATGGGGCACGTGGAAACGAACAAGAATCCCTTCAAAGCCCTGCTACCCACTACCTATCCTACTCAGAGAGTAGCGCCCAACCTTGAAGATCTGGTTTTACAAAACACACAGGGAAGGAACACTTATGGCTTTTTGTCCTTGACCTTGTTTTAAAATATTTACTTATTAGTTCTTTTACACTTTCTATATTGAAGGCTTCCAAGTATTCTGTTGCCTGCCCTATCCTGAAGTTGACGCTGATACTTGGTAACTAATATCAAACAGTTAATTCAATCTGAAATACTTTAATAGTTTTTGACCAGGACAAGAACAGTAGGCCATAATTCTTGGTGGGTGTTGATTCACCTTTGATTCTACAACTTTTACATTTCCTTGCTCGTCAGAAACGCCACAAATGTGTAGTGAAGGGAGTCTTACCTGTCAAAGGAAAACCAGTGACTTCCAGCGGCTTTGCAATACCCGGGACTGCCTTCCCTGCGGAAGGAGACTTATACAATCCAAAACAACTCATTTTCAATGCATTTTGATTACACAAATGTTTCTAACATGAGAACCGGTGTTTAACAGATGTAAAGCGTGTGTTGTCCCCTTTGAAGCAGTCATCTTGGGATGCTTTCCCTTTATATTGACTCATTCATTCATTCATTCAATAACAATCCTTCAATTCAAGCTTTTGGCTTCCAGCTATGCGTACCACATCAAAGATAAATAAAAGTAGATCTTTCCCAAGTGGCTTTCAGTCTGGTCCAAGGGAGTGAAGGCAATAAACAAAAAATTAAAACCCAATTCATATATGCATTGTAGAAGCTCAAATACGATATTTCGAAAGCTTGCTGGAAAGAGTAATAGAGACCTGGAAGAAGTAAAGACAATCTGTCAAAGCATTATTGAGATTTTCTTTTTATTATTTAGTACTTTTGAGTCAGCTTACAAGCCACCCAAAAGAAACAAGTTTTCACCATTTCGTAGTCACACATATTTTTTACCCCGATCTTGGCTTCCAATTTTCCCTTAACTGGTTCCAAAAATCAGAGTCAAGGACAAAGATTTGCTCAAAGGTGACTGGTCAAATGAGTGTCAAAACTTCTCAAAGCAACCCAACAGAGACATTCCAAAGTGGCTTTGAACCTGACAAAACAAACGGAATAAGTGTATTGTCTGCATCCCAAGACCATAAATCACTTTAAAGACTTGTGCTATTGGAAAAGTGGGCGCACACTCCGAACTCAAACATCGGGGCATCCACAGGAACAAAAAATCAGTGAGGCAGCCTCCCCGCTTCCAGTGAACAATGGGCCCCGTTAAAGGGGGCAACATTTGCTCCTCAGTGAGGGGATTGTGTGCCCCTTGTGGCAATAGATTTCTCAAGAGAAACAGGAAATTTAGATGTTTGTATGAATTCTCCAGATTGCAAAATCTTGTCTACAAAATTCAGAAAAACAATTTCTTTAAACACTTTAAAAGCCAAACAAAATGTAACACATCTGCAGGGTGGGCCTGGCACACAGGCCACCAGGATGTGGCCTCTGCCTTACGCTCGGGCCTTGCCTGTGCCAGTTGCGACTTTTATGGGCAACTATAAAAATCCAATTGCAATTCTAAAATCAGAGGAATAAAACGAATCAAGTATGCCACTCATATTGTTGAGCTGTAGGCATTGAGCCTGTCATTAAGCCTTGCTTTGGTCTTATTTAGATTCTAAATGGTGTGTGGGACAGCTTTACACTCCAAAGTACAATGAGGTCATGAGATATAAAACTGCAACACAACTGGGTCCTCCAGTTAGTACAAAGTGAAAAATGAATGTTTCACTCTTAGTACTAAAACTCTCTGCTCTAAGGATTGAGGGCTCTAGTCTAGTGCAGCCGTGAAGATGACATTTTAAGATTTTAGAAGACCTTAACTTTTAAGACCTTAACAGACGTATTTAAATATTTCTTTTCCCTTGGTGCTTTAGATGTAGATCAGACCAAAACACCAAACTAACTCCATTCATCTATGTTTGAACTACAACTTCTCAAGGCTGAGAAACAACTCCTCAGCTTTTAGAAAATGAAACATGCTGTAGAGTAATTATTTTTGCAGCTGCTCCAGAGCTTCCCCACTTCCCCCAATTCTCTGGTGAAACACCAACGACATCTAGCCCAGTCTAAAACCGAAAAAACCGCAGGCCCTTTCATCCTTACGAGACTCAGAAAAAAACACTTCTGTGACGTTAATTTATGTTTAAGATGTTTGTATGACATCTTAATTTCTCTTTCTTTTTTGTAAGCACAGAAATAGGCCCTCTGGAAGAAGTGTGGATAACTATGTGACCTGGTACAAGAACTCTCTGAGATTTGGTTTCCTCACTTATAAAATGCCATTACAGCCCCGCTAGTGTGGCTCAATGGTTGAGCGACAACCCATGAATCAGAAGATCACAGTTTAGTTCCTGTCAGGGCACTTGTCCAGGTTTGGGCTCAAGCCCCAGTAGGGGGCATGTAGGAGGCAGCAGATCAATGACTCTCTCTCAATGATGTTCCTGTCTCTTCCTCTCCCTTCCTCTCTGAAATCAATAAAAATATATTTTTAATGGATTACAAATAATATCGTAAAAGTACACTGTGATCTCTAAATACCAACAAAATGTTTAACATTTCCCAGCTTTACATAAAAGTTTAAACGTGTTTTTTATATTTGTCACCCAATTCTTACCTTTAAGACAGAGAATATCCCTATTTTATTGTTCCATAAATTAAGCATGATTTATACATAATTTTGGGGAAGGTTTGAGTGCTACTTTTGGATATGCATCTACAGAGGGAGATCCTGTGGGGGCAGGAAGGACTACTTGCCCCTCTGGGGCAAGTTGTTGTCAGAATGAATGAAGTGAACCCAAAAGTGCAAGGTGCAATTGAGAATACTAGAAACTAGAAAAATGGAAGATGCATAATACCCCCTCTAAAGGCACCTGCTACTAGTTCTTCACTTTTTGCTTGTCCACACTCTCTGGCCCTCCCCACTGTCTCTTGTACCTCATTTGGCACAAAATCTAGAGTTGCCAATAATCTGCATTTATGCCTTTCACTTTGTTATTGTTTTCTCTTTTTTCCCCTCCCTTCTCCTTCCTTCTCCCTTTGATATTGTTTTCTATATGCTTCATGTCTTTTAATTTTTTTATTTGTCCTCTGTTTCTCCTTCACTTCTTTAAATTTGTCTTAGACCTATTTTTTATTATACTACTAGAGGACCAGTGCACAAAATTCATGCATGGGGGGTGGAAGGTCCCTCAGCCTGGCCTGCACCCTCTTGCAATCCAGGACCCCTCGGTGGATGTCCAACTGCTGGTTTAGGCCCGATCCCACCCTCTTTCAATCCGGGACCTCTGGCTCTAACCACTGGCCTGCCTGCCTGCCTAATTGTCCCTAACCACTCTGCCTGCCTGCCTGATCTCTCCTAACTGCTCACCTGCCTACCTAATCACCCCAACCATTCTGCTTGCCTGCCTGCCTGATGCCCCTAATTATTTGCTTGCCTGCCTGATTGCCCCTAACCCCTCTGCCTGCCTGCCTGATCACCACTAACCACTTCTGCTTCAGCCCCCACCGCTGTGGCTTCATCCGGAAGGACATCCAGAAGGTCATTCGGCTGTCCAGTCTAATTAGCATATTATGCTTTTATTATTATAGATGTTAATTTCTCTGTTGGATTTTAGCTTTTTTAAAAATGTGATTTTCTTACTAGTTGCTCTGGAGATTATAATGCATATTAGTTTATCATCTACTTCAGATTAATACTGACTTAATTTTGATAAAATATAACATTTTTCCTGTGATACATCTTCATTTTCGTCGGAGAAAATAAAGCAGAGCCTTTGGGCTCTGGCCTCAGATACGAGAAGTTACCATATCATAATTGACATTCAGTAAACTGCACATATGTAAAGGATAAAAGAAAAAAGACATTACCATATTAATATATTTAATTAGTTACTATATAATTACCAAAGTAATATATTTAGTATGGAAAATAGATTGAAAATCTTTATACAGAATGCTAATACACCAGCCCACTGAACATCCATTAACAGATTACCTACTGTACACTGCACTAGAAACACTGGGGATAAAGAATAAAAGCAAGAATAATCCATTCTGTGGAATCACAGAGGGAAGGTGGAGGAGGGTGGGTAGGTGAGAAGAGATCAACCAAAGAACTTGTATGTATACTAGTATATGCATAACCCATGGACACAGACAATAGGGTGGTGAAGGCCTGGGGCAGTGAGATGGGGGGACAAGAAAGGGTCAGTAGGGGAAAAAGGGAACATATGTAATACTTTCA